GGAGTTAACATTGCACTTATCACTGGTTTTCATTGTTTTCCCTGCAGTTACCTTTCCTTGGGAAAGAGCCAGATGGAAGAAATACCAGGCATGTTTCACCCTTGCTGTGACTCCACCAGCTTTCAGTGAGGTGGCTTTGGGAAGACTTTCCTCTGGAAGTCAGAAACACTGGATTCTTACAAAGAGATGTGCACTGGCTGGAGATGGTGGGTTCTTGTTGCACGATATGAGAGGTCTGATTCTGCTAGTAGTGGCAGCATAACTGTGAATGTATTTTTTTTCTCCCTTTCATTTCTCCTCCTTCTAGTCTTTTTTTTCTACCTGGCCTATTCAGACAGCAAATTTTTCAGATCAGGAATTGCTACTTAGTATGATTTTTTTCCACTGTGCAGACCACAGTAATGGTCTTTGTGGTGTCCCTTAGATGCCAACAGAAAACAGTAAACAGCACTGAGGTTTTAACCTAATTGTGCCATTTCTGTTTCACATTGTATCATAAAGACAAGTGTCAAATAAGCAGATAAATATTGCTAACCTTTGCAGCCTGCACCAGCTGCACTGTGCACTGGTTCCACGCATCGTGCTTCTTGGCTCCAGACTGAATCAAGTCCTGTAGTTTAGCTGCTGTGCTGTTTATGAGCCTGGGAAATTGAAAAAGCATAAAGCATATTGTATGTGAATGCCACAGCCCACAGGCACATGTGTTGCACTCAGAGCTGTGTGTGATTGAATGGCAAACTGGCATGTCTGACATCTGAAGCTATCTGCAGTTGGTATGAGTGAATTTAAGATTATGCAAAATCTCAGTAGAAATTAGGCCAAGCACCCACACCACCCCAGTACTGGAGGATTTTTGCCTTCTCAGCTTCCAGGGTAGTTTACCAGGGGATTGGCTGAGCTTTTCTTGGGTCTTGTGTGTGTAAGGAGAGTTTGCAAAACAAAGAGTAATACTGGACTGCTGATATGTTGTTTCTCCTTTTCAACACGGGGGTTCAAATCCTGCTCGCACTGACACTGAAGCTTTTGGAAGAGTGGCTCTGTTTTCACACTGCTTTCAATGGCAGCAGGGTTGTCTGCCTCTTCACTTTATTTTCAGAGATGACACCTACATGGCCCATAACCATGCACATTATTCTAATGAGGCCACTCATGATACCATTTTAATTTGTGTTCAGTAGTTCAATGCATAGATGAAAGGCTACAGACAGTGAGAGGCTCTGTGTTTGCTGTGGTGTTAAGTGAAAACAAACATCAGTTTCACAGGTATGTGAAATTTTAACTTTCTGTGTAGAATTGCACAGGGTTCAGTTGCCTAAAGGTTTTACTCAGTGATGTCGTCTGGGATTTACTTAAACAGTGTCACCAGCTCTGTGGAATGTAGTTGTTCGGTAGCACATGGTTTAAGAATTTCTGAGTGTGAAAGCTTCATATTGAACATCTGACAGGGCTTAATCCAGTGTAGTCTTCCTTTTCTCTTTCAGGAGCAGATGGTGCCAATCCTTGTGAGACTTATGTTATTTTACCTCCCTTCAAAGCAAGGAAGGAGCTGAACTCTTAGCACATTTCTGATGTCAGAGAGAAACTCCATCTCCCATCCTTTGTACTGACCTGAATGCCACGTGTTGATAGGCCTCAGTGTAAATATCTGGACTGAGAAAATCCAACTTGTTCTTGGCTGGACACTTCCCAGGTTTCACTGCAGCCAGGTAAGTGACAGATGGTGGAACAGGCTGGCCAGAACTGGCTGCCATGAAGCACTTAATCAGGAACCTGGGAAGAGGGTTACAGTCAGATCAGGGTATGGTGGTGATCTCCACACAGCAAACAGTCATGCAAAATGTAAAGTGGGCTCAGGTGAGGAGCAGCAAGGTGTGACCCATCCCATCAGTGGTTTGGAATGGATTTGAACAAGTAATGACCTTTTGTTTTGCCTGTTACTTGCCATAACCTGATCTGTGGGGGGTCTCAGGGGTAGCCTATCTACCTCCTTTAATACTACAGCAATCTGCAGTGATGAATTTTTCAGCAGAAACTTGCTGTGGCTATTCAGAGTCCCAGCACTGTGGGGATTAGATACATTATCAACTTTGCAACCTGAGTCTTAATGCTCTGGAAGTCTTAATGGTGGTTTGGTCTTACCCTCTGTAATCCCCAACACACAGTCCCATTATGCTAACAAACCTGAGACCCTTTCTTGGAGACTGTGTGCAAGAGCATTCCCCACTCCCTTATTTTTCTGGCACCTCTGCTATGAGCTAGACTGACCAGAATTAAAAGGTTACAGTATTTCTCTTGGCTTTGCTGTTGATCTTGCAAGCAGCAGCAGTAATGAGTGTAGAAATGTCTGCATGCAAGCACAGAGTTACATGGTGGCTCTGTCCCTGGGAAGTGCACTGATTTACTCCTTCTAGTAAAAAAAAAGAGTTATTAAAAGTTCAAGCAGCTGTAGTTTTTCTCCTGTATTTTATGTACTCTGGATAACCATCAGTCTGTGTTCAGAGGAAAGTGGTGTTCTCAGAGCATGACTCATCCACTTTCATTATCCAACAACTTTGCTCTCTCTGAATTGACCTCACTTTACCAATATTGTGTTACATTGGTTGCTTAAAAAAATAAACCACAAGACTTGTATAGCAATGGTGTTTGCTGTGCTGCGAGGCAAAGAGGGAAATGAGGTTATGCAGAACAGCACCTGCATACATCCCCAAACCAAAAATAGAAGAGATAATCCAATTCCCACACACCTCCATGCCTGTTAGACAGAAGACATGAATAGTTTATGTCCTGAGCTGTATTTTTAGAAGTTGCTGTGAAAAAGGAGTAGCTGGTTTTACTGGTTTTGGTGAGGTAGTGGTAGAGGTTGAATAAATGGGGGGGCAGACTTTTAGATGAACACATTTGAATTGTTACCTGGCAGTTTGCAGGAGCAAAATGGTGTTTTCCCCTTCATAAATACAAGAGGCAAGGATTTTGGTGTACAAGGAAGGGAGTCCACTCAGCTGGGAGTAACCGTGTCCCCCACACGCCCTGAGGCAGATCTCCACTGCTGCAGTGCAGTGGTGAGTGATCACAGCTTTAAAGCCTGAAGACAATGCATGGAGCTGTTAAAAAAAGAGGAGGAAAAAACCCCAGAGTGTTACTGGTGAAGTGTTCTCAGGCTATCCTCAGAATAAGTTTCCTTTTTTAATTTTGTGCAATTTCTGGGCATGAAATCCCTGTCAGATCCCCTCTGCATGCTGGTAGCACCCAGCTCCCTGAGCCTGGCCTTTGGTTTCTGCCTGGGATGCTGCACACCCTCCAGCTGGGCACACTGTGGTCAGTTTATGCACTTTTGGGTCTGTCTTAACCAGCTGTGGTTCAAACCACCTTTGTTCACAGTGTGTTTTCATTTTAAGCACCCAGTTGCAAAATCTTATGTTCCATCTGAAAAGTCACGTTTTTAGTTTTGGCTCAGAAGTGACTATTTGCATGTGCATTTGTAGATGAAGTTGTGAAATTACACTTTGTACCACCAGCTACTAGGAACAAGGTTTTTAGCAAATGGATATGATTTTCAAGGACCTTTCACTCTGCAATAGTTCCCAAAACAAAACATTGGGGGCGGTGGAGTGAATGCTGTTGCTGACTGGTTGTGGAGCTGGGACATGCCTTTTGATCCCTTGGTGCTTCCTCTTTCTCCAGTTCTCTAGAGGTGAGAGGAATGCTTGTCCAGTTTAGACATTTTGGATATTTA